ATGGGACTTTTGTTACAAAGTTAAACATGGAATTAAGCACAACCGTGGAGAGATAGGGAGCGGGCGGGGGGCGGAAAGTGCGAATGGATTTGGGAAACCGATGCATTTGCGCAAACTGATATCGATGTATTGTACCGAGATCCACCTATACGAGCTTGTTTAATGAAATGTTTTATAGCCAGTTTGTACGGCAGATCATAAGGAATACACACACAAGTGCACTGCTATTCCTCAGTGAGCACGCGTCACGATAATCAATTACACAATACAGCAGTAGCCACTTGATATAGGGTTACAGCCACTTTAATAAAAATATATTTTTTGTAACTACAACTGCCCCTTCCCGTAGAAGGCACCGCCACTAGTGAATCCGTTCAACTCGGCACGGAGATTCGCCCATTCCGAGGCTGCTGTCAACTTGCGCGCAGTCACCACTCGAAGCGGTCGCGTTTCACCGTCGCGCGCGTGACCTCCTGACCCGCGCGCGTGTGCGGTGACAAAGCGGGCCACTTGCACGACCACTTTCTCGCCGCGCAACTCGCGGGTTGTTTGTTGTTGTTTTTCCTTCTTCTGATCGAGTCGACGCGACGTGGAGCCACCCGGTTTGCTGTGAAAAACAAAAAAATGTCAACGAACCTCTTTTTTACAAATGTTTTAAAATTGCCAGGAAATTATTGGAAACTGAACTGTGAGATTTGCACACGCTCTCGATTCGGGAGGGTCACCACTATTTTTTTTAAAGTGTTCGTCAGCGACTGAACTCTTTTCAACATCGGTGTAGGAATTCCAGCAAGGTCTGATGGGGGGGGGGGGGAGTAACCCGGTGTACAATAGCGCAGTGTCGCGAGCGTGAGCTTTTTTGAGTTATCTGCGGATCACGCAACTCCTTCCAGAATCGATCACCTTTTCACTCGACTTCACCGACAAATGCGATGTGTGCCACTAACGCTACGGCCTGCCCCCCCGCCCTTTCGCACGCAAGCCCCCCCCAATTCCAAGGTTCAAGGCGAGCTTTCGCAGGTGCCCTTGTGCAGAGTGTACAGCGTGGGGCTCCACCGCTTGTCAAACAACTTCTTCCCTTCCCCCCCCCCCACGTTCCCTCCTCACCTAACGCCCAGTGCAATCGCACCGCCTGCACACCGCCGAGTTGACGCATTAGTTGGGGGGGGGGGGGTGCCAAGAGGGTGGCATTGGGGCATCGCACGTGGCGTTGTGCCGAAAGCGACGGGCCACGTGAGCACGGCGGTAATTGACGGCACGCAATGCCTCGAGAGAGGGGAGGGGGGGGGGGGAGATGGGTGCACATATCAGTGTGAGACTTCGTAGCGTGTTCATTGTTTACCGAACGCTTTTCACTGCCACGTTCGTTGTGTGTGCGCGCGCGTCAGTATTACGTAGCGGGTGCGTCTGCCTCGACAGAACGTGCGCGTGTCGAGGTGTTTCGTGGACGTGTTCGTGGGTTTTACGCCGGGAACTTCCAAGGCACGGATTCTTCACGTTCACCAAATGTTACTTCCCGCTCGCGGACGAAGACCGTCTTGACACGCCGCGCGGGTCCGATGATTGCGAAACCACGTCCCGCGTCACGTGGGGGCACGTATAGCCATCATCAGGCTCGTGCAGTGCGACGGCCTCGTTTTCACGCGAGCGGAAGAAATCGGTGCACGCTGGAGGGCTGTGCGGAATGGATTTTCGCGGGCCCAAGGTTGCGCTCCGAACAGTTCCGTCACGGGAGAGCAATGTAAGACTGTCTTAAGAGTTTGCGATGATTGGTCCCCCCGGAAAAAAAAGATGTCCTTTTTTCCCCAAATCGGTCTAATCATCGATGTCGGTGTCTTGCGTTGAATTCTATATTTTTCTATGCCGTGTTTAAGTCTGTACGTTTAAGTAGCTCGCTCTGCTGATGCTGTGCTTCGTGCGCTACATCCAGAAACCTAGCCTGCGCGCAAAATTATGTTACGCACGCATACACGTGCCGTTACACGCCTACATGCATACATTCATACGTGCGTACAGATGTGTCCATATTTGTTTTATATATATTAACACACATTAAATGCGTATCTATATATAGGAGTAAATACACGCATGCATAATTAAATAAAATTTTAATACCTACGCATCTGTGTCATTAACTGGGTAGGGCATCACATTCGGTAATGTATTTTTCTTAAGTACACATCAGGCTTACTTGAACACTCAGTATCAGAATTGCAATTCCTTACTGGTTGATAATAATAAGTCTCCCAAGCGGCGATGTTTACACATCGCAGCAGGTACTCATTTGAGGCCGAGTCGACCTAGTGGAGTCCCAGGACCACTTCCATATCCGTCACCGATGTTTGGCCGTGAGCGGGGAATCGAACTCGGGTCGCCGGGTTCGTAACACAGCGCGTTAACCAAGGCACTACCGCTCCCTGCGTGCGTGTATAATACACACACATACATACATTTTAATGCAAGCGATTGATAATTCTGTTAAATCAACCCATAGGAAATCATGCACAGTTGGGTAATTGGTACGGGCAAAATGGTGTATATAACGTTACTCTCCACGCAGGAGGTGTCCGTGAGCGGCAGTACAGCAAGTGGGATGGACTGCACGCCTGTGTGTCCACCCCCGGCCACCGGGTTTCCTCCCAGAAGCAACGCGCAGCGACTGGCAAGCGTGCGCCCGGAAAGTAAAACAACGAGAGTCTTCAGACTCTCCGAGGCTTACCTGGGTAAATTCTATAAAATTATGTTAATTATTCTTTGGGTCGTCGTTCAAAGAAAATAACAAAAAAAGCTACGACGTTTCGATCACAACACAAGCGAAACGTCATCAGGAGGAAAAGAAAGACCCAAGGAATATGAATTCCTGCAGTCACGAAAGCTTTAAGTCGAGATTGCCGTTCATACACACAGCCTTGAAACCAGTGTGAGCAATGGTGCCTCAATATCAACAAATGGAAAGACAATCGCACGCGCTTATCAAGTAGCGTAGTTTCAGCTGCGTTGGTGTTCGCCGTTGTGCTGCGTTATCGGGCTCCGCCGCCCTTCGCGACGAGTCCAACGTTTCGCGCCACGTTTTCCCGTGGCAGCCTTTCCACATTTCGCTCGTCGCCGCACATCGGCACTCGGGAACGACTCGAAAGCGCCACCGGTGTCACGCGCGCGGGCACGACAAACGCGTTCGCCTTAAACCGCGCATCCCGATGTATCGACGCTAAAAAAACGAAAGCGAGTTGAGATATTATCCCGAAGCGCACGGAGCGCTTGACCACCACCATCACGCGAGGAGCAAGGGACAGCCGCTTGCGTTTTTGTTTTCGCTTCTCATTTGGATTTTCGTTTTACTTTCGCAGAATGTATAGTTGCCGTGTCGATCCTTCCGCTGTGATGTACCGCGCTGGGCGGTCACGTGAGGTCGGTGGAAGAATTGCCTCTCGTGTTACTTTATCCGAAAATACATAAGCATTAACACAAGAAACAACAAACTAACCACACGGGTACTTTTCTTTGTCGTTCCGCTCTTTTGAATTTTATTAAACGCGGCGTATCCCGCTCGTCACTTCCAGCACATGTACGAGGGGCCTCACCGCCCCGTACCGGTCGTGGGGAGGTAAATTCACCAAACTGCACCCACACCATGCCGACACGTTGGATGAAGGCGAGTAGGGGTTATGGAAAGTTACAAGACAAAACATCGTATTCGCACTGCCATCTGCTGCTTTGTAGCCAGAGCAGTAAGAACCCAGCGTCACGTCCGCTCGCCCATTCAAGCTCAATGATGCATGCATGCTTCCAAGATCTGACAAATATGGGGTGTGCGCATTCCAGGTACAGTAACTTTGGCAACAATATTATGTCCGGATGAAACTGAAGTTAAGAACACGAATTGAGATCGGTACGTCCCGTACCAAAAGAGTTTCCCCGGATCGAAACGAGCGATGGGGAAACACCTATTTAAAACTGTTTACACGATTTAAACTATTTTTGTTTTATTTTACCAGGTAAGGCCCACTGAGCTCCACAGCTCTTTTCAGAAGCGACCTGGCCACAAATGATATAGTCACAAAGCGGCTTCTTATACACGCTGGAAATTGATCGATAGCCAAATACTCTAAACGCATGTCGATTCTCAAATTTGGAGGGGAGGAAATCCACACGACCAATGGGGAGAGAGAGACACGCAAACTCCAAATATACAGCAGCAGTGTCAGAGGTTGGGATCAAACCCACGAACCTCCTGCATTACCAGGCGAGGTAGTTAACATCTCCAAGCCACCGTGATGATGATGAGAGAGAGACGCAAACTCCAAATACACAGCAGGCGTCAGAGTTGGATCAAACCCACGAACCTCCTGCATACCAGGCGAGGTAGTTAACATCTCCTAGCCACCGTGATGATGATGATGATATAGAGACGCAAACTCCAAATATACAGGTGTCAGAGTTGGGATCAAACCCACGAACCTCCTGCATACCATGCGAGGTAGTTAACATCTCCTAGCCACCGTGATGATGATGATATAGAGACGCAAACTCCAAATATACAGGTGTCAGAGTTGGGATCAAACCCACGAACCTCCTGCATACCAGGCGAGGTAGTTGACATCTCCTAGCCAACGTCACGCACCTCCAGCCAGATGGCTCGGCAGTGGAGCGAGCAACTCGTTTTTGGCGGTAGCCTCAGCCCGTCATCCTTCCGGGATTGATAAAACGAGTACAACTTTGCGGGGAAGTCTACAGTGGTTGCCGTCCTATGGACGGACTCGCCCCCTGACAAAGAAATGTGGAATTTCCCCGACCGACTCAAGGCTGCAAGCGAGAAGTAAGCACCACACAATGCTCGCCTTGACCCAGCCGTGTAAATTCCACGTTACGCGTGCTGGGGTTTTCCCCCCAGGTTTTATGGTTGTTCCCCCACACGTAGCCATTTAAAGCACGAACCAATTATTTCAAGCTGAACTTGTTTTTTTAACGTCTTCAGACTCATTAGTGAAGATTTCTTAAAAAAAAAAATACTGAATTATTACAGTATTATAAACATGCCGATAACTAAATCCCCCAAAGTGCACCCCGACATCAGATCTAGGCAGCTAAGCAGCTTTGAGCCTCGACAGTCGCGTGCACACACGAGTTGCCATAGGGCTTTGGGGCGCAACGTGACGGCGGGCAGCAGACGACAGTGCAGCAAAACCGTTGTGCTGTACTTCTGCGCTCCTGTTCTCCACGCCTTCATCCTCCCGTACCGACCGGCGCGGTGAAGTACGGTCAAAATAACCCACAAGGGGCACCCTGCACGGAGTGGCGAGGGCCCCCGTCCGGCAGCGGATCGACAACAACAAAAAAGACCGTTGCGTGTACACGTCATAAATACAGCTCGGAGCCACAGCGTTTCGGTCAAGCGTTGCGACGTACACAATTAAAGACGAGAACCCGTGCGTTTAACACAGCACGCCGCCGCGTTTCGCACAAGCGGCTGGTTCAACTTTGCGTTTCGCAAAATAAACGTCCCCGCTATCGGTTTCCGAGCGCGCGCATTTGGCGCAGAAAGCCACGCCGCTTCACACCTGACAGCATTCGTAAGCGTGCGCACCGTCGTTGCAGCCAGCCAATGGCTTCATGGTCGTCAACTTTCGACTTTGTAGCTCTCGCAAAGGAACGCTCGCGGAGCCCCGAGCGGCTCATCCCAACGGGGCCCACCGAAACTTAGAACGGAGCGAGGACGTCCACTTTTAAAATAATGAAACTATAACGAACAAAAAAAATAATGACGACGACGACGCTAAAACGCACGCAATTCAGTTTAAAAAATTCCCGTCACAAAGAAACGCAGAAAACCCTGGGGACGTTTGCATCGACGCGTTTGACAGCAAAGCAAAAAAAAGTTTCAAATTAAAAATTACGGCATTGGCAACGCCGCTGGCTAACGACTGCCAACTCCGCCGGGGTCATCGCCGGGGTCACCGGGGTCGTGGCCGGGGTCACCAGGGTCGTCGTCACCGGGGCGTCCGAACTCGCGCCGCGACGCTCTCTCATTTGTACGTCTTCATGTGCCACAGTCCGTCGTTCAAGTAGTGCACGTTCTCGATGCCGATCCCCTTGTTGATTTTCACGCTGCGGGACGACAAAACAGGAGAGTTACCGTCGGCCTCAATCGCGTTTTGGCGTGCCTCCTGCAAGCCCGCACGCAGTGTCTGTTTTCCCGAGGGCCGCTCTCTCTCTCCCGTGGTCCAGAGGGGGAAGTCGAAATGGGGGGCCCCATTTCATTCCTTGCGCCACGACCACGCTTACATCGCTCAAGCCACCGCACAGAGTACAACATTTACACGTGCAGGATTTTCACGCGAATTTCCACTCTCGTACACGACAATCGCAAAGTGCTCGAGTTTTGGGTTTGCCACTTCCTGTTTTTATTTTAACATCGCCTTAAACTTTAATCGCCCCAATCACGGTAAGCGGTGGGTAATTCACGGTGGCTCCGCAAATGGTGGCCGAGGTTTTTTTTTCTTACCCAAACCCACTACGCACGGAAGCCGTTGCTATGGAAATTTTCATGCCAGGCAACTCACGAGAGACCACAGACTGGAGAAACGGCACTCAACGCACATTTATAACTGCATTGTCACTACCGCCATGGCTTCTGTTGTATTAAACTGCATTCATTGATTCCTCCTCCCGTGCTCGGGACTCAATCTGCCAGGCTGACCATTAACGTCTCATCCACGCTGCTCAACCACTGAGACTGCAGGTCACAACAACTTCCCTTTCCCCTCTGTTCCTCGCAATGCTCGACTTTGGAATTCCCTCCAATTGTAAATTTCCCCCAAAGGTCTAGGAACTGAAGTTAAGCTATGTGGCTGTTTATAAGAAGCGAACTGGCCACAAATGATAGCTCAACGAAGTGGCTTATCATGTCGAAATTTATAGCAGCCAAACAAACTCAAAATATACAGGCAACAGGGTCGGGATCGAACCCACGACCACCTGCATACCAGGCGAGGGAGTTAACATCTCACCACTGCACCAACCGCGCTACGCCACTCACTGGCCGTTCCCAAATGTGCTAATCTGGCGGGAGTGGTCTGTGACCATGACGGAGCGACTCACATGTCATCGGCAGACATCTTCATGATGCCCACGCTGAGCGCGTGCTGCTTGCCTTCTGCCATGATGGCCTGCAAGGGGATGCAGTCAAGGGAGACACGGTGCCGTGGTACCACACATTCAAGCTTTCACAGGGTTCAGCAATTCCACTGCTGGATTAATTTCTTTTCCGCCCGAGGACGACCGCTTGTGTTGCGATCGAAACGTCGTGATATATTTCTGTTGTTTTATTTTTCTACCCACGTGACTTTACCGAAAGAACCAAAAGCGTATGGATTCCTGCAGTCACGAAATCTTCAAATTAAGATTTTCACAGCTAAGTTTTGCAAGTTTCTTCTAGCGGTGAAAATGGGGAGCAATCAAATCAACCCGTGTGCCTGTGCTAGATGGAATGCTGCAACGCAAGAAGACCGTGAGAGGTGGAAACACCTTGAGGAGGCCTTCATCCAGCAGTGGATAGGTCATGGCTGATGATGTTGTTGAAAATCACCGAGTTGCCGAATATGTGACGGGGTAGGCCAGTTGAAAAATGCGTTTGCTGCTGGGTAAGTTTTTATTAATGTTTTTCTTCCATCACATTGAGCCCCATTTGTCACCCAACTACACCATGAAGGCCTCCCCATTACATATTGGGGGATGTTTGACCATACTTCACCACACTAGTAAGTGCAGCTTAATAACAGCGATGGGGGGAGGGGGGCGGCGGAGGTGACGGTTGTCAGGAATGGCTCGGACATCATTCGCTCGGCACCGACATTCGCCGTGACCGGGAGTCAAACTCGGGGTGCCGACGTTCGCAGTGCTAAGCTCTCTGCGGCGCTCAGGATACAACAATGGTCTCCTTGTCGGCGGAGCGGAGCTTGGCCCCCGGCGACGTCAGGCCCGGGCACATGATGTTGGCGCCGCTCAGCACGAACCGGATGGCGCCCTTATCCACCTGCTGGTGTGGCAGGATGGTCGGGTCTGTGGGAGCCGGGGGTCGCGGAAACGCACAACACACACACCGCCCACGCGCTCGTCACACGTACGTGCTCGTCCAAGGAACGGGCTCGTGTATTACTCACGACTGATGTTGGGTGGGGTTTTTAGCGGGCAGTGTGCTAACCACCGCGCCCGTCGCTCCACCTCAGCCGAAACTACGAATTGGTAAATAAATACTATTGCTGACCTCGTCAAGGAGCATAAACCATCACGCAAACTCCGGTCATCCTCGCCACGGCGGCTTTTGGCGAACCATTGAACAAAGACGGTCAATGCATCGCTCGCTTTCAGATGCGCTTCGGCGGCCGTCTGGAACACTCTTCCATTCAAGATTAAGAACACACTGGAGCTATGCACTTTTAAATCGAGATTGAAAACGAATTTCTTTAGAACTGCTTTTTGTGTTTAGTCTGTTGTCCTTCCCCCACACCTCCAATTAGCACGGCTGGCTACGTATGGTTCAACAAAAAGTTCAACATGCATACAAAGACTGTTGGGGCGAGTGCTGTTAGCGAGCAGCTATGAAGGCCGGCACATTACACGAGGGTGTGGGTGGCCAATACCATGCCCGACTGCCTTTGTCTCCCTAGTGGCGATATTTACACACTGCACCAGGTACTCATATGAGGCCAAGTCAACCTAGGGGAGGCCCAAGACTGGTTCAGATAATCGTAAGTGGTGTTGGCCATAGAGTGGCAATCGAACCCCGGTTGCTGGGTTCATAGCGCAGTGCGGTAACCGCGATACTACCGCTCCCCACACACAACAACAATAACAAACTCCATTCGTCACCACGACGCTTATGCGAGGCCATGAGCACCTTTGAGGCCATACACACACACCCATGCACAATGAATAACAATAAGAGGACAATTTTACAAAGCCCCCGCACGCACGCAATTACAGCGGCCCAACCAAAGGATTGGAGACGACCCCGGGGGCAGGCCACAGCTAAAGTGGCCCACGCACGACCGAGGCTGCAGATCTTCACTGCCACGACAGCCGCCACCACCACGGTGGCCTCGTGGTCTGCATCCTGAGGGCCGCCTGGCTGAGGTCCCCTGGGGACCGCTACGTCCCGAGGGGTTCTTATAGCGCAAGGCTATCAGGAAGAAGGCACTGCATGTGTCTTCACAGACAAGGTGGAGTTTCACAGCGGGGATATTGCTTCGCATGATCTCCATTTGAGCAATTTGCGGTTCGTTTTTCAAATTTGTACCGTTCGACGTCGGCACACGACAACCTCCTGCTTGCTTTTTTTTTCAAACGACATCGCGGGAACTTCAACGACACCGGCGGTAATAACCCCAAAAGCTGTCTGCCAGATTCGAACCACAAACCTGTGCAACAAAGCGGCGAACGCGCTACCCGCTGGGCCGCGTCTTCCTAGCAATTAGCGCGAGAGCCAAGGTCTCGCTGTGCACGTAATAATAGCCTGTCCCCCCCCCCTCCCCATTGCTTACATTTGTGTAGGAGCCGCAGGGTTGGGAAGAGGGGCCCATCCCTCTGCTTGAAGAAGAGCAGCTCTCCGTTCACTGTGAGGATCTCAATGTGCTCGTGGCTGCAACGAAAAAAGACAGCAAGATAAACAAAAACACGCCCGTATGTATGTCATGCTGAACTTCTTTCGCACCGTACGTAGCCAACTGTGATGATCGGAGGCGCTTTACCGAGTCATGCAGCAAAAGTCGGCTTTGCGATGACGACGTCGTCGTTGAATATTTTTTTACCGCGCTTCACAACTTCCTTGTTCAGCCAAATGTTACAAGCGTCGCCCCCTCTACCGCCTGTTTTTGTCGGAGGGCGGCTGCTAGGCTTGGAACAATCCATCATCTCCCGGTCACGGGTAATGTCGGTACCATGGCGATCTCGTCAAGGAGCATAAACCATCACGCAAACCGGGGTCATCCTCGAAGCAGAGGCTTTTGGCTGGCCATCGTGCAAAGACGGTCGCCGCATCACGCGCTTTCAGATGTGCTTTTGCGGCCGTCTGGAATGCTTTTCTTTCTGATATTAGGAAGACACTGGAGCAATGCACTTTTAGATTTAGATTGAAAACTGATTTCTTTAGAACTGCTTTTTCTCTTTAGGTTGTTGTCCTTCCCCCGCACCTCCGATTATCACGGTTGGCTACATATGGTGCGAAAAAAGTTCAACAAACATACATTTAAAATGATTGCTCTCAAAATAATACATTGATTAGAAGGTGCGCATGAGAATCAATCATTCACTAATCATTACAATAATATAGAAATTGCATCTAAATTCATGGAATTCATGAGATAATAATTATATTCATGAAGTGTCTTTCATCAAGGATCTCAAAGTGCTGTACAACACGCATTCCAATAAGTCATAAAATATAAAACTAAGAAGCAGCACAATAATAAAATAAATAACAATTAAAACTTTTTGCCGAATTAGCTAAAAGCTGAATCAACGGAAGTGTATAAATACGTTTTTTTAATTAAGTTTTAAAAATGTCCAGAGTCTGAGAGGCGCTGACATCTCATGGGAGAAAGTTCTAGAGTGTGACGGGCTGCCCGTGATATACCGCAAGCAAGCACGAACAAAACGCAAGAATATGAATGTCTACACCTAGCAGCTACCAGTTCCTGGAAGCTTTGTCTCACCATCCTCCTCAACAGAGGCCGGTCCTGACAACATCGGTAACAGCCAGCGTGTGGGCAATGAGAGCTGAGTTCAGTATTCTATAGGAGTATGCGGAATGGTCGACACATGCCAAACGCCATTGGAACCTCCTTTGCCAGTAGCAAAATATGATAATAGTTTTTTTACCCTTTTATCTGGCACTTTTTTTTGTAAATGCTTACCCCGAGCTCTCATACTCTGATGGTGCATTGTCTTTGAGTTGTGCGCCTTTTGGCGTCATCTGGTCCGACACCATGTGAGACTAGGCTCTAAGAAAAGCTGTCTCTGGTGTGGACCAATCAATTTAAAGGGCAGTGCATACATTATCAGAGTTGTGTTTTTTGTTTGCATTCCGACCGCAGGCATTGTGGTCAATGCAAACATGACTCCTTGTAAAAAAGGTGTCAGTTTTGTTGCCAGATAAAAGGGTAAAAAACCAATTATCATATGCCAAACGTCTGCTTTAAAATACAGAGGGGAGAAAAAGTGGGTCATGTGATCTGGAGAAGACGATATTGCTGTTGTGTTTCTTAAATGTTTATCTCACAGCAATAAAAAGCCACAACCACGGTTTTTTTTAAGTGTATCTTTGAGGACAAAGTAACATTCAAAAAATAATCCTACCACCCAAGTTGGGGAAGCCAATCTGACCGCAAATTCGTTTTTCAGAAGCCGAAGCTCAATTCTCCAACTTGATAGGTTTTGGAAGAGTTCGAATTGGCGAGTAATCCCAAAAATTACTGTAAATTTCACAATTATTTTCCAGCTTTAGTGTCAATTAAGCAATAATATTTGTAAGCTGCATTTTTTTAAAGTAATTCGTATTTTTGTATATTAAAGTAATTATTGTTCTATACATGAGTTTCATTTTTGTCTCCAGAAAAGTGTAGTTTGGTGTTTTCTTGCACTTGCTAAAAGATCCGATTCTAGCATGAGAGTCAAAACATGAAACCGTGCCTTTATTCAGAGCTGAATATCACATGGTCTGAAAACATAAATCCAAAATCGAAATATTCATAAATAAAAAAAGATTAAAAAACTTTTTTTTTAAACCATGACGTTTCGATCGTAACACAAGCGGTATTTTTTTCTCCGCCTAATTATTGTTATTTTCTATCTACGTGACTTTCCCGAAAGAACCAAGAATAAGAATTCTTGCAGTAACGAAAGTTTTAAGTCTAAATACTCAACTTTGTACAAGCCATTTCACACATTCAGTTTTAGCTTTCCCCAAGTTCTATTTTCATTCAGTTATTTTTAAAAATATATTTAACGTTTCTATGAAAAAAATGCTTCGGTTAAGTTGCGTCAAACTCATTCGACCTATAAGACAAAGTAAAATCTTACTCGTGCACAAACAAGCATCTCTTTGTGCCAACGGGGTCAATTCTGGGCATTCTCGCAGCAGCGGCATTTGGCCAACCATCGAGCAAAGACGGTCACTGCACCGCGCGCTTTCTGACACACTTTGTGCGGCCGTCGAACGCTGGCCCTTCCTTCCGATATTATGCACTTTAAATTCTGTGTTGAAAACTCATTTCTTCGTGCTTAGTTTGTTGTCTTCCCACAATACAGGGTGAAAGATGTTCAACATACACACAATTCAACATGCCACGATGGGGTTCACGTCTTTCCAAAAGGAACGCATTCCTGCGGAGGGAGCTGGTAGGAACATGGGATTGCTCGGTCAATAGCCAGGGTCAACGGCGGCGTGGTGTATTCCGCAAATATGGCCGACTGTGAGAGCGGGCACAAGCCGGCGTGAGTAGGTTAAACGTTGAGTTTTATAAGGGCACCACGGGGTGACCAGCCTCTACCAACCCAGCCCCACCCCTCCCATCCCCCACCCAGCCCCACCCAGCCCCTCCCCACCCAGCCCCCCCCCACCCAGCCCCTCCCCACCCTCCCCCTCCCCACCCTCCCCAACCAGCTCCACCCTCCCCACCCAGCCCCACCCCTCCCACCCCTACCACCCCCCACCAAGCCCCACCCTCCCCACCCAGCCACTCCCCACCCTCCCCTCCCGACGAATGGACGGACACAATAATCCCCTGTGGGCTGGTGGAACCAGTGGGTTCCTACCAGTATAACAAATGTTTACTTCTGGCATAGTGGTAGCGACTGACACTGCCTGGCCAAAAAGGTCACAGTTTGGAGACAGAGTTAGTGATGAACAGCCAGGGGGTGCTTGAGCAGGGCTTACCACTTGACAATCTTAAATGGGTCCTTCTTGGGCAGGATCTGGTTGAGGTAGGGCTCGATGGCAGGGTACTGGTCCAGCAGCTGATTCCGGATCGACTTGATCACCGATGTCTTCAGCTGCATACATGTAGACACACTCTCCTTCTCCTCAAACCTATGCACGTACACACACACACAAAGACAAAGGTTCCCCGTACGGATTTTAATGGATTGCTGGGGGGGCTTGTGCTACTCGAGAGGTGGGTGGGCTGCACCACGGCCAACCACCTTCATCTCCCCAGTGGCACTGTTTACACATTGGACCAGGTACTCATTTGAGGCTGAGTCGACCTAGGGGAGGCCCAGGACCGGTTCAGATCATCGTCACTGAAGTTGCTCGTGAGCTACCGCATCCCCCTACGTACACACACATGTACACACGCACACATACAAGAAGGCCATTCCAGCAAGTTGTATTAATTACTGTCATCGCCGTCTCAATATTTGCCACATTTGACTCTTTTGCATTGGTGATCTACGGCAAGGCGCTGTGTACATTATACACGCAGTATGGGAATGTTGCATGCCTTACAATTACAGCATAAAAATCTCCTTTTGTGTGCACTACTACTCGTATTTGTTTCCAGCCTGCACACAGCTTTCTGTCTGATGAGTTTCTCATCATTTACAGAGTGTTAGAAGAGCGTTGTCACCATCTACTATACCATTATTCCGAGTTGTGTGTTGGGGTTGCCGTTTTAAAACGATTTGGCAGTTTTTGAAGGTTATCATGTGTTTTTTGTTGCAAACAATGCATACGAGCTAAGGCCTGTAATCCATTTACCTTGGAAGAAAGAGTCAGTGGAGCACATGTAATTAAGGGGCTGTCCTGTTTAAAGTTTAATAACGCACAGAATATCATTGGCCGGAATATTTCTGCCACTAGCCAGGCAGTATAGGCGCACGCCTGTAATTCAGCGAGGGTTGGTAGATCACCGCACAAATGGCAAAATGTTTGCGAGACTCCGTTCCCGTGCTGTATCCTGCCTCGCCAGCAGAATGCAGTTACAGCAAAGTGTGGACTGATTTCGTCCGTCCCCTTCGGTATGAGATGGAGTGTTGCCCTGCTCGCATGCGTCAGATTTCTCTGGGTGCTTCGTTTTGCTCCCACGTGTACAAACACTCAGCCTTGCAGCGTGGTCTGCGGATCCTCAGCAGCAATTGTGAGATGCAATTTGCATGAACGACGCAAGAGAAATCTCATAATTAGACGATTACTTTTTTCCATTAAGTTGACATTTTCGAAAGTAGGCAGATTAAGTGAATGGAAAGAATGAATTAAGTTCATTGTGCAGCCATCAGTAGGAAAATTCTACAATAAAAGACTATCTCAAGTGGAATTTAAATAGTTCCAATGACACTTGCATGGGTTTTTCTTGATAAGAATGCATTTGGGTTATCAAGCTTTATTCCACGCCACGAGTCTACTGTGAAACTCTCATGGCCAATCTCACGCGCTGAGGCTGTGAGGTTGGCCATGAGCAGTACGATCAAGTGGGTTTGTGAATTTACTACATCTCTTTGTAACATTGTGATCTCCTCGTACGTGCGAGTATTCTCTGGACACCCTGGTTTCCTCGCAAACAAAAAAAAACACTTATTTAAATGAAATGGCCAAACATTCCAATTTCAGGACCCTCATAGAAAACTATTGAGACTTCGAGTATCTCGTGGATAAATAAAGGACGCCATTATAAAGACGACTGATGACCTGTCTTATGCTATATTTCAACAATACGTTGGTGCATTTGTGTATTCCAACTGCTCTCCATTCTGTCGCTACTGATGCAATCTAATACGCATTACGTAGGCACAACGAAAACGCGCTTAAAATCCAACTCTGATCGTTATATTTAAGCAGGAGAGCCTCGCCGAGTCCCAAGACTCGTTTTCAGGAGGGTCCTGCTTTGGGATGTTTGACCAATTCGTTTTAAGGGGCAACGGTGGTATTAGATGAAGAACAACAATCAACCCATGAAGATAATGATTAATTGACGATTATGGTGATATGCATATCTGTACAGATAACAAAAGTGGCTAAAGGTTAACTACCTCGCCTGGTATACAGGAAGTCGTGGGTTCGATCATGACCCTGACGCCTGCTGTATATTTGAAATGTGCACGTTGCTTTCCCCGTGGTCGCGTGGATTTTTCTCCGGGTCCTCCGGTTTTCCTTCCACATTTAGAATCGACATCACGCGGTTAGAGTATCTGGCTGCTATAAATGTCGACGTGATAAGCCACTTCGTTGAGCTATCATTTGTGGCCAAGTTGGCTTCTGAAAAATAGCCATGTAGCTCAGCGGGCCTTACCTGTTTGTTTGTTGTAGTACAGAGTTAGACTGATGGCCTTAATCTATGTTTGTTGTAGTACAGAGTTAGACTGATGGCCTTAATCTATGTTTGTTGTAGTACAGAGTTAGACTGATGGCCTTAATCTATGTTTGTTGTAGTACAGAGTTAGACTGATGGCCTTAATCTATGTTTGTTGTAGTACAGAGTTAGACTGATGGCCTTAATCTATGTTTGTTGTAGTACAGAGTTAGACTGATGGCCTTAATCTATGTTTGTTGTAGTACAGAGTTAGACTGATGGCCTTAATCTATGTTTGTTGTAGTACAGAGTTAGACTGATGGCCTTAATCTAAGTTGTCTTGTGGTTATTGTTGTTTGACTTGCATCCCACTGGGATATTTGCACAGGGTTGGTCTACGGTGATTTTTCTGCAATATTTTGCTGTCTTTTCTTGGATTTTCTGTTTGCACATAGTCACTTTAAGATATTTTCTTGTTCATGTTTTTTTGTTTGTTGCGGTTGCACCCGATTCAAGAGCCGAATGGCTCACAGGGCTATATACCTAATACACGAACTTTGAACCTGGTCAAATAAAAAAATGTTTAGTTTAGTTGAACTAGCCACTGCAAATGATGTGTTTATTTGGTTTATTAGTTTAGCATGCTGATGAGAAGCGATGGCTTGGTAAGCAGGCGCGAAGGTGGATTATTACATCGCAAGGCCTTCATCCAACAGTGGCATGAGCATGGATGACGATTCATCATTCATTGGCCTTTGCCTTAATAGGCGCTCGTTGACAACTCTAACCCCGACTGTTCAAGAAGACAAACGGGAGAATAACGCATCTTAATGTTATATCTATCAATTAATTTAAGGATTGTTTATAGTAGTTAAACGTTGTGTGAAAAGTGGCAATTAACTCCCTATGCGGTACATGAACATCACTCAGCTGAACACGTACAGATTATTCTATCACGCTTCTGGGCGCCGTCACATTCTTAAACATCGTTGTCAACATCGAAGCGTTCACTAATCGCACTTTTAAAGTGAATACATTTACAAGTGCATCACAATTGCCGATGCGAACACGTGTCGAGGTGGTCGGCCTTAGGAGGCCCACGCGAGACACCGACCCTCGGATAGAATCCCTGCCGGGGAAGGCGCAACTTCCCCGGCGGAAGGCCACTATCCCAGCCCGGCGACTCCGACACTCTCCACTTAACAAAAAAAAAAAGACAACTGCCGTCTCAAGCGACGCGCGACATGTTTCCCTTACTTCTTAAACATGACTCCGCCGCTCCTGGCTCTCCAGGGCGTGAGGAGGAGGTGGTGGTGGCGGTGGTGGCGTGCGGAGGTGGTGGCGTGCGGAGGTGGCGGGCGTGAAAGCAAAGCGAGAGAGTAGGAGGAGGAGTGGGAGGGCCTCGGCGCGAGGGGTGCGTTCGGAATCGCCAAGTCACGAGGCAGTTTTTGTCCAATGAGGGCCGTGCTGAGTGGATGGGGGGGGGGTCCCATAGAGTTCTATTGGAAGGCAAAGGCGCAGCACTGCAACTGCGGATCGTGCTGAGTGGATGGGGGGGGTCCCATAGAGTTCTATTGAAAGACAAAAGCGCAGCTCTGCAACTGCGGACCGTGTTGAGTGGATGGGGGGGGGGAGAGTCCCATAGAGTTCTATTGGAAGGCAAAAGCGCAGCTCTGCAACTGCGGACCATGCTGAGTGGATGGGGGGGTCCCATAGAGTTCTATTGGAAGACAAAAGCGCAGCTCTGCAACTGCGGGCCGTGCTGAGTGGATGGGGGGGGGAATAGTCCCATAGAGTTCTATTGGAAAGCAAAAGCGCAGCACTGCAACTGCGGGCCGTGTTGAGTGGATGGGGGGGGGGTAGTCCCATAGAGTTCTATTGGAAGGCAAAAGCGCAGCTCTGCAACTGCGGACCGTGCTGAGTGGATGGGGGGAGGAATAGTCCCATAGAGTTCTATTGGAAGGCAAAAGCGCAGCTCGGCAACTGCGGACCATGCTGAGTGGATGGGGGAGGGATAGTCCCATAGAGTTCTATTGGAAGGCAAAAGCGCAGCACTGCAACTGCGGATCATGCTGAGTGGATGGGGGGGGGGGTCCCATAGAGTTATATTGGAAGGCAAAAGCGCAGCACTGCAACTGCGGACCATGCTGAGTGGATGGGGGAGGGATAGTCCCATAGAGTTCTATTGGAAGGCAAAAGCGCAGCACTGCAACTGCGGGCCGTGCTGAGTGGATGGGGGGGGGGGGATAGTCCCATAGAGTTCTATTGGAAGGCAAAAGCGCAGCTCTGCAACTGCGAACCGTGCTGAGTGGATGGGGGGGTCCCATAGAGTTCTATTGGAAGGCAAAAGCGCAGCTCTGCAACTGCGGGCCGTGCTGAGTGGATGGGGGGGGGGGTAGTCCCATAGAGTTCTATTGGAAGGCAAAAGCGCAGCACTGCAACTGCGGATCGTGCTGAGTGGATGGGGGGGGATAGTCCCATAGAGTTCTATTGGAAGGCAAAAGCGCAGCACTGCAACTGCGGGCCGTGCTGAGTGGATGGGGGGGGATAGTCCCATAGAGTTCTATTGGAAGGCAAAAGCGCAGCTCTGCAACTGCGGATCGTGCTGAGTGGATGGGGGGGGGGTCCCATAGAGTAATATTGGAAGGCAAAAGCGCAGCACTGCAACTGCGGGCCGTGCTGAGTGGATGGGGGGGGGTCCCATAGAGTTCTATTGGAAGGCAAAAGCGCAGCACTGCAACTGCGGATCGTGCTGAGTGGATGGGGGAGGGATAGTCCCATAGAGTTCTATTGGAAGGCAAAAGCGCAGCTCTGCAACTGCGGATCGTGCTGAGTGGATGGGGGGGGAATAGTCCCATAGAGTTCTATTGGAAGACAAAAGCGCAGCTCTGCAACTGCGGGCCGTGCTGAGTGGATGGGGGGGGAATAGTCCCATAGAGTTCTATTGGAAGGCAAAAGCGCAGCACTGCATCTGCGGATCGTGCTGAGTGGATGGGGGGTGGAATAATCCCATAGAGTTCTATTGGAAGGCAAAAGCGCAGCTCTGCAACTGCGGATCGTGCTGAGTGGATGGGGGGGGGAATAGTCCCATAGAGTTCTATTGGAAGGCAAAAGCGCAGCTCTGCAACTGCGGACCGTGTTGAGTGGATGGGGGGTGGAATAATCCCATAGAGTTCTATTGGAAGACAAAAGCGCAGCTCTGCAACTGCGGGCCATGCTGAGTGCATGGGGGGGTCCCATAGAGTTCTATTGGAAGGCAAAAGCGCAGCTCTGCAACTGCGGACCGTGTTGAGTGGATGGGGGGTGGAATAATCCCATAGAGTTCTATTGGAAGACAAAAGCGCAGCTCTGCAACTGCAGACCATGCTGAGTGGATGGGGGGGGGGGATAGTCCCATAGAGTTCTATTGGAAGACAAAAGCGCAGCACTGCAACTGCAGACCATGCTGAGTGGATGGGGGGGGATAGTCCCATAGAGTTCTATTGGAAGACAAAAGCGCAGCACTGCAACTGCGGATCGTGCTGAGTGGATGGGGGGAGTTTTACCATAGAGTTTTATTGGAAGAAATTTCTGTCGTAAGATTGTTTTTGCTGTCACCATTTGATTCTCTGCTTTCATTTCCTTAAATCAATAGGGAAGCTCAAGGCTAAAGCATTGGGATTTTTTTTAAGTCAATGTCATCATTTTTTGAAAGTCACAAGTGCGTAATCATAATAAATAGTTAATTCAAAAGCTAACGCTCAAGTGATCCGCAAAAGCCGACGTCATTTAAAATTTATATTTTACAATTGTAAACCAATCAATGTTGTGGGTTTACTCTCCAACACACCGGTGTGCTGTACTAGTAACGAATTGGCATGTTTTGTTTTCGTGACAAACCTTACGAATTTGCTGTGTCGGGTGGTGGTGGATTTCACGACACATTTACATCTACACGATCTAACCCCCCAAAAAACCTCCATTATGGATAATATTGGTCGCAAAAGCCTACTGACTACGTGTTAAGCTGAAGGTTGTTTATTTGGGGTTCCTCTACAGGCCCCTCCCCTTTCCACTTGCAGGCCCCTCCCCTGATTAAGCCCCGCCCCTTCCTCTTTTGGCTCCTCCTCCTTTTCCTTTAAGTCCTGCGCCTTTCCCACAAGCCCGGAGTGGTAATGATCTTACACTCTGTTGTTCGCAGCGCAGTTACTTCTAAACACCGCGTCACCACTAACACCCACACCCAAGTTTAGATTTTAGAGGTACTTCCTCAAATGCAAAGCGAAACAATCATTTAAAAAAACCAGGCACATTTTTTTCAGGACAAAGACAGCCACTTCACATTCGCCGCTGAGTTGCAGCAGAGGGTAAGTCGTTTATTTAAGTTTTTTTGCTGTCTAAAAATAAAAAGATACGTTCATGAATTGTAACAATATTATACTGCACCGGTCTTTTTGACGCCAGTTATGGTTATGAGCTCTTAGCGTGCCTTGAGTGCTCTCTTTGTGAAAATCTGTCAGTGAAATTCGGTAAATATTTGATCGTGAGAGATGTCTTCCTCTGTTCTCATTGAGGATTTACCAAATATGTAGAGATTTGCGAACTTAATATTATAAATGCGTGGTTTACTAACCTTTAAACGAACCCCTAACGGTAACCTACCCTTTAGCCGTGTCCAGGAAGCGAACTCAAGATATTCTTCGATTTTTTTTTCGGTAAAGTCACGTGGGTAAAAAAAATATATAATAATAATAAATAAATGATTTAATTTAGTTATTTTCATGTATTATTCTTTTATTATTATAATTTTTTACCGACGTGACTTTTCCGAAAAAACCTAAGAGTATGAATCATTGCAGTCACGAAAGCTTCAAATCTACGATCTCAAGATCTCAGGGCGCGCATCCCGTTATTGTATTTCTCGTCGTTGTCTATGACCACGAGTCGCGTCCTAGTCTTGACTCAGATACATCTCTTTCCGTGAGAACTCATTTGGGCCACACGCTTTCTCAGGTGGCTCACGAGAGACAGAGAGAAAGCTTTTTTGAACCTGGTTCATTCATTTCCCCCGGTTCTCCCGTCCTTTACGCCGTCTGATTAGGCGCCGTTTAATTTTAAATATCGATCAAACGCGTGCATCCTCGCAACCAATATTCATCCTACTCGTGACTAAGATAACAATGCACCTCCAATGAGCACGTTGGGCTACGTGCGGTGTGAAAGACGTTCTACATGCATGCATTGTGTACTTTACATTCAGTCTAGTGAGTTCACATAGAGGCGAATGGTTAAAAAAAACAATATCCGTGCATGATTCTCAGCGAAGTACAAAATACCATTTTTAAAATGGTAAGTTACTCAACTTGTACGCGTGAAAACGAACGTTGATTGGAATAATTTTAAATGGGAAAAAAATGAAGTGAGGAACAGGTTTGAAAGAGAAAAAAAACTATAATTGCAACGGTATCAGTAAACATCATTCAAAGAACGTAATAACGCTTTAATTAAAAAAATGCCGTAACACCTTCTTACTTAAACATTGTCATATTTATAGTTCGTCGAATTATTACCAAATTCACCTTTTTCAAAAGTTGTATTTTCTAGCGCTGACACCGACTCAAAGCTGTTTATAGGGCACGCAATTCGCGAAATTACTGCAATCGGACTTTGTAGACCCCGTGGCATGATCACAAGAGTTAAGGAGTTGTGTGCCAGTGCCTAAGCGCGCATTCTAAATCTTAAGAAGAAGAAAGATGCCCTTCGACTAAGACAATGCAGATACAGGTACCACCCTACAAGTGCAGTACAGCAGTATAGTACAGCACTACAAGTGTAGGAAATAATATTTAATTATTATATTAGTGTACTCTTTGGTTATTTCGGTAAAGTCACGTAGAAAAAGAAAATAATAAATAAATAATAGCATACGGCGTTTCGATTGCAACACAAGCAATCATCAGGTACAAATGAAAGAGAAAACAAACCTAGTATTAACTCTTTGGTTTTTTCGGTAAAGTCACGTAGGTAAAAAATAAAAATAAATTATATTAATGTTTATTTTTTTACTTTATTTTATTTTTTTGCCTACGTGACTTTACCGAAAAAACCAAAGAGTATGGACCCTTGCAGTCACGAAAACTTCAAATCTAGAAAAACCTAGTGAACTTAGAAATACAATGCAATGCAACACAGAGAGTCGGCTAACACAACAGTCAACACCCTGCCTGGTTCTATAGAAGGGTAAAGAACCAATTATCATATTTTTACTGGCAAATGAGGTCCCCATAGTGTAGATGCTTGCCCCGAGCTCTCATACTCTGATGGTGCATTGTCCTTGAGTTGTGCGCCTTTTGGCGTCATCTGGTCCAACCCATATGAGACTAGGCTCGAA